TTGAAGTTTCTGTGCTACATAAACTTTTAGAAGTTTGCGATTCATTTTCAAAATAAAACTTATTAGACATCGTATGGTAATAATTATAATAACGTGTCTCCTTTGGTTTAGGAGATTAGCTATTATTAACTAAATAATTGGACTTGTTTAATGTTTCGGTACCACAATAACTTATCAGATTGACCCGCAAATATCATATTGTTGTGTTTTTTAAGCATATTTTTTGTTAGACGTCTGGACATCCAATAAAATAATAAGGTTTCATTGGGTTATTTAATTTTATCTCGACAACCAAACGAGACCGTAATTGACAATATAATCAAAGTGTATCAAATACATACTTGTGATTTGGGTTTTAAAATCTTCCATATAAAAGCTTTAATATTTTTTTTAAATTACATTTTTTTGTATTAAAGAAATAACGGTTATATAAATTCACTTTGATCGAACCTACGAGCGGATCCAATAACTTGTTATTGGAGGGCCGTGGATGAATTAAATATTTTACGGTGCTTCGAGTGTAGCGTAACTGACCTTGAAAAGTAATAGTAAATAAGTAAGTAAATTAGGTGTATTTTGAAAAGCAATGGTAAATAAGTAAGTAAATTAGCTGGAAATTCTTCAATAAATATTTGAAAACTTTAGGGTGCATTTGGATGGAGGGATTTCAAATCCATAATAACAAATCCCTCGGACTTGTTTGGATTGAGGGATTTGGAGATGGATTTCAAATCTCCACCCCTTATTTTTAGTTGATTTTGGAGCAATAGTGATGGATTTCAAATGACTCCAAAATTGGAGTCATTTCAAATCCATTCCCCAAATCAAATCCCTCCCCAAATCCCTCCATAAAAATGGACCCTTAGCTAATTAATGAAATTTGATAGTGAACTTCTGTCAAATGAGTAAGTACTTTAACAAAATATAATAGTCAAACGCTCTAAATTGAGTAATTAACAAAATATGACAATAAAATTCTGAAAATTGGATACATTTTTCTTTTTTTTTTTTTGTAATTAGCTGAAAATTGATATCGAAAATCTGAAAAATTAACCGTAAACTTTGAGAGGCCTAGCCCCTTTTCAGAAATGCACATCGCGCCAACATTATTTCCAACGACTTTTAGCTACTACAAACACAGATTATAAAATGAACGAGCACGAAACCTCTATCAGTTAATTAAAATATACGATATTTCTAACATATTTCCCTATAATGTGCATATATATGACATCATATTCAAATAATAAAAATATATAAACTTACTTAAATTGCTATAAAAAAATTAAAAAAATTACTTAAATTGCCAATCCTTATCCCCTAGCCTAGAGAGAGAGAGTAAATACTAAATAGCACAAAAAATTCAAATAAAATAAAATTACAAAATTACCAAAAACAACAAAAACAATAAGAAAACAGCTAAGCAGCAGCGTTTCATTTCTTCTCTCTCTCTCTCTCTCTATCTCTCTCTCTCCTCTTAGATTTTCGATTTCCGTGTCAAGCAAGCATCCACACCACACACACACACACACCACCACACTCCATCCCCCATTTCTTGACCCAACGGCAAAATCCAAACCCCAGCAACTAAATTAATTCTCTTACCTTTTAATTTTTTTTTCTACTTTTAATTTAATTTAATTTTTTTCTACTCCTTAATCAATAAAAATCTTTGCTTGCCTTCCAATTTTCTCCCATTTCTATTCCGAACCTAATTTATTTATTTCTCCGGTGTACTTTATTTTTTCTTTCATCAGGGCTTTTTTTCATTTTTTTTTGGGGTTTCTTGTTTAGCATAAAAGACAAGACCCGGAATTTTATTTTTTGTGGGGTTTGTTGTAAATTAGAAATCTTGGAAAATGGAGATGGGACAGGAGTTGGTGGTGGCTCCGGCGGCGGCGACGGCGGCAGTGAAGGGTGCTCCGCCGCCGACTTCGTTGGCGCCGGGATTCAGGTTTCATCCGACGGATGAGGAGTTAGTTAGGTACTATTTGAGGAGGAAGGTTTGTGGGAAGCCGTTTCGGTTTGAAGCTGTTACAGAAATTGATGTCTACAAATCTGAACCTTGGGAACTTGCTGGTATATAAAGATTCAATTTTTATTTGTTTTTTTTTTTTTTTAATTTATGAAAATTGAATTGGCAAAGATTTAATTTCTATGTTCATTTTCCAGTTTTTTTTTTTTTGGATTTATTATTATTTTTTAATTTAAAAAAGAAATGAGCAATTGGACTTATAAATAAGCCTTTTGTTTATGCAAGTTTGATTTTTTTCGAGCTTTGGTTATTTGTTTTATGAATTTGTTGATGGTGATTTTGTTTCAGACTTTTGTGCAATGAAGCATGATTTTTTAATCCCCAATGGAGAAGAGAAGTATCAGAATTAGGGTTGTTTAATTTTAAGTATTTAAAATAAGAATGTGTCAAAGATGAGATTTTTGCAGCTCCGATTTGGTGAGATGCGAAATCGAGGAAAAACTATAGTCAAGAACTGATTATGTGGTTTTGTTTTCGAATCTTTAACCATTATTTGCATTAAAGATTAGATCTTTACAAGACCATGTAATCCGTTTTCCGGTTTTATTTTAACCATTTTTAAAGATTAGATTTTTATAAGCAGGATGAGAGATCAGACGAAAGATAGGAAAGATTCATTGGACGTGCATGTTAGTTTTCAAATTAGCGACGAGGGATTTAAGTTTTTCAAATGTGGAAAATGCCGCGAAGCGGATGTATAAAGACATATATGTGTTTTTTTTTATGTAAAAACGGTTAAAGATGTGATTTTTATATCATGTAAACGATATAAATGTGATCTTTGGTTGCCTTTTTTCCCCTCAAACTAATGTATGTAATCTGTGAAGTCTAGTTTTTTCCTTTATCTTGATAACAATCTTCTTACGTGCAACTTGCCTTGGGAAAAAAGATTACTCGTCTGTGAACACGAGAGATCTCGAATGGTACTTCTTTAGCCCCGTGGATAGAAAGTACGGGAACGGGTCCCGCCTGAATCGAGCCACCGGCAAAGGTTACTGGAAAGCAACCGGGAAAGACCGCTCCGTTCGCCATAAAAACGAAACCATAGGAATGAAGAAAACCCTAGTTTTCCACAGCGGGCGGGCCCCGGATGGAAAGAGAACAAATTGGGTCATGCACGAGTATAGGCTTTGCGATGCCGAGTTGGAAACTGCTGGCATTCCTCAGGTGTCGATTTTATTTTACATTTTTTCGATCCTTTTTTTTTTAATTGAAATCTTGAAGAGTAATTCTTGTGTTGTTTTTTTTGGGGAAAAAAAAATAGGATGCGTTTGTGCTGTGTAGAATCTTCCAGAAGAGTGGTCTGGGCCCACCGAACGGAGACCGGTATGCACCTTTTGTGGAAGAAGAATGGGGCGAAGATGCTGCGCTCGTTATTTCAGGTGAGGAGGCTGAGGATGACGTGGCGAATGCGGATGAACCACGTGTTGAGTGCACTGATCTTGATCAGGTTTGTTATCTGATCGTATACTTTTAAAATAATAAATGCGGTTCGTTTTCCGTTCTTGCAACTTTGTAGTTAATGGAAATCGACATGGGATTTTAGATTTTTGTACGGAAGCTTTATTGAAATATTTATTGAACCCTAAATCAATTAAATCTAGGACAAATGTATTTATGCATGCCACGGGTTCAAAATTACGTGCGGTGAGCTTTAATTGAATTTGTTTTGCAATTAGTGAAGTACGAAGCAATTTTCAGAATCTTCGTCTCTTGATCAAGATACATCACTTTACCTATGGGGACTAATGCCTCCGCAATTTCTCGTTTGAGTTGTCTGAAAAATAGTTTCTTGTCTTGAGATAGTTTCTTTTTCTATATTTATTTTATTTTATTTTCTTTCCACCGAAGGCTAAACGGTGTAAACTACATGGTGTTTCTTTGTTAAATAAATAAATTGCAATAAGTCGAGACAACGTACCGTTTTTGGTGACTTGATTCTGCAAAACGAATTTCAGGTTTTGCGTTACATAGTAACTAGTCCAATTCAATATCTTGTAAAAAAAATCGTGCGTCTCGATTTCGAAATGAAATGATACACTTAAGTGAATTTTTTTTTTATTAATTATCATGCAACTCCATTGCCGAAAACATTACTTAATTTTTTTTATTTTTTTAATATTGAAATTTATACAGGACACTCCGCCTCTGAGCATTGCTCTTCCGCAGATCGAGTCTGAGATTCTGCCATTTACGTGCAAGAGGGAGCTAGTGGACCCCACACCGCTCTCTTTATCTAAAAGCAATAAAAGATCTAAGCACGAAGATCCCAACTCGACCAAACCAAACGGGTCGGAAGATTCCACCACCACGAGTCTTCCGGAACCTTCAATGATGATGACGAAAAATACTTCTTCAGGTACACTCTTGGAATTCCCCTTGTTACAGCCTCGTTGCTCCTCGAAAGAGACCACATTTGACTCTTCCAACCTTGAGAAATCGGTTCCGCCTGGCTACCTTAAATTCATCAACAACTTGGAAAACGAGATACTGAATGTCTCGATGGAGAAAGATCTGCTCAAAATCGAAGTGATGAGAGCTCAAGCAATGATCAGTCACTTCCAATCCCGCATCGAAACTTTGACCGAAGAAAACGAGTCTTTTAAAAGACGTTTTAACTAGGGGAGGGAGGGGTAATACTGTCCCTTTTTTTTTTTTTTTTTTTTAAGAGATGAGTTATTGGCCTTTTTTTAAAGAGATTTTAGGCGGCTCGTACTTTCTATTTATTTCGCTTAGTTTTTCTTTTTAATTATCGGAACCGTGAATCTGCCGACTATGCTTTCTCTCTTTTTTATTATGAATAAAAGCTGACTTTTTTAATATTGATTGTGGTACTTAACCGTGACCCCAGGTTTCGATTTTTTTTTCTTCTTTAGCATCGTAAAGAGATCTTTACTTGAGGTTGGTACCAACTCTCCTTACGAGAGCTCGTTTTCTCTGAATGTTTGAATGTGCTTTTTTAGACTTAAGTTAACGGGTAAATTATGCAAACATTCTTTGGTGGTGAAAGTCGATAACCTTTTTTACGTCCACCCATCGGAGATATAGTACGATAATAAATGTGCATTAAAGTTTCGAACATCTTAGCTAAGGTAATATACACATAAAAATCACATAACTAATTAGGCCTAAAAAAATCGCGCACATCGTCTGGGGCTCGGGACTCAATAGTGCTTGTTAGCTGGGATCTGGGGTAGCTACGACATGCAACACCTGTACGAACATCATTTAAAGACTCAACGAGTATTCAAATATAATAACCCGGTTAAGAAAATGCATACTACAAAGACATCAAGCACTAAGAGTATCCAAGGACGCGGGTACACGGAGCGAAATTAGGTTGATGTTTATAAAAAAATTAGATGATAATTCTAGCAGAAATTCCAATGCACTTATGCATCGATAATAAATTATTTAGTTAAGTATTAAATTATTTAGTTAAGTATTAATCAATTTTCCGGCTATGTTGGTGTGATAGAACAAAAGTCATCCTAGTGGAAACAATGCAGAAGATACTGAAAGTAAATAACAAAAAATCATGTCAACGATGGGCGCGGTAAAAAAATAATTATTTCAAAAAAGAAAAATAAAATTTTAAGTGGGAGCTTGTTGGCTAATTTTGAAAAACTCTTCTAAGTGAAATAATCATATCAACGAGCAACGAGATAAGCAGAAAACAACTAATGATGAAGTCGGAGATTCCTCCAATGCCCATACTTCGGCAACCGATTGATCCATCCCAACCGTGACTCCAACATCAATTAACTTGGATGATGAGGATGGAGAATCTAACGATGGTTCAAATGGATTAACGCGTCCTTATGATCGTAGAACTTCAAAAGGTCGTAGAATGAAGAAAAATTCCACTCCCGACCTTGACTTATTTGCATGGAAGTTCTCTAATATGAAAAACGAAACATCAAGTTTGGTGAAGAAGTCATTATAAAAAGTACAATAGAAATACAAACGTTAGAAGCCAAAATGGAAGCAAAAAGATGAGGCTACTAACCCAAAAAGAAATTGAACATATGAGAGTTGCAGCAATGCGAGAACAAAAAACAAAAACTATCTGAGAAATTAATAATGAAGATACTCCCCACCCTGCTTCTACAATTGAGGGTACAAATGGAAGTATTGAACAACATGCTTGGATTATGGAACAATATAGAGAAACAATAAGTCGTGCACGAAAAAATAAGTCAACATTTGCAGATTCTAATAATTAATTTACTAGCTTTCTCTTAAATTTTTATTTATGTTTATGCGGAGGTCTTCCAACAATTTTATTCAACTCATTTGTAATCTTTTATGTTAATTTATGTTATTTATAAATATTTTAAATTCATAAATACTATTTGGCCTCGTTTACTTCAATATATTAGAATATATACATTATTCTAATACTAGAGGTAGGGGTGTAAACGAGCCGAGCTCGAGCCGAGCTCGCCTCTTTTGGCTGGCTCGAGCTCGAGCTCGAGTTTATTTTGTCGAGCTCGAGCTCGCGAGCTCCTCTTTTTTTGGCTCGAGCTCGAGCTCGTGTCAATTGTGTCGAGCTCGAGCCCATTGTCTTTTTTTTTTTTTTTTTTTTTAAATATTTTTTTAATTATTATTTTATTATTAAAAAAAATTATTTAAAAAAATAAAAAATAAAAACTAAATTGTAATTATATATATTTTTAATATTTGTATTTATTTCTATAATATTTTACATTATAATACATTATTTAAATAAAAATAACATATAAAAAATAAAAAAAATAATAAAAAAATAATAATAAATCCGGCTCGCGAGCCGGCTCGCGAGCTCATGAACAACTGAAAACCGGCTCGAGCTCGGCTCATCAGAAAGCTCGAGCTCGCGAGCTCGAGCTCGAGCTCGAAAATCTCGAGTTCGAGTTCGAGCTTTTTACGAGCCGGCTCTTCGAGCTCACGAGTCGGCTCGGCTCGTTTACACCCCTAACTAGAGGTCCAATATTGATGAGCAGCCCAGCCCGGCAGTATTTGACCCTCATCTAAGGATCTCCCATACCAGCTTAGGGGTGGGATGTGTAGTACTCCTCTTAGTATTAATGTCATTTTACTGTTATACCCTCACTTTTCAGCAAAACCTAATTTTTTCACCTGCCAAAAAGGAAACAAATGGGAGGGAAGTACAGCGAGGGAAACCAAATATTTTTTTCAACACATATCTCCCAAAAGTAAAAAGATAGAGGAGTTAAAGAAAATACATTATCAGGCATTGAAAAGTAAAAAGAACAAAAACACTGGATTTTGAGGCAAAAAAATCGTCACCATTCTTCAAGTCAAGCAGGTATGATATAATTTCTTTTTCCGTAAATCGCTAGTTACACTTGCTGTAGAAAAAATATGATTTTTTTTCCAGAAATTTTAAAGATCTTCTTTGCCCACCATATATTTTGTTTTGTTTGTGGATTTTATGATTTGTATGGCCAAATTGCTCAATTTAATATTGTAAATCTGCCATAAATAAGTATTGTTGAAATATTTGAAATGCTCGAAACCCATCATATTTTTTATACAAAAAATTGTGAATAATTGACCAATGTTTCGTATTTAGGATGGATGTCTCGAGTTCCGAGGGTGAGGTTCTACTTTGTTTGCAAGAAATTGTTTTTGAGTGTGTCATATTCTTTACCATTTATTTTGAATATATGAGTGAAAAAGAAACCTCTGAATCATCTCAATATGAGCGCACTAGATACAATAAAGTGTCAAGAGTTTCGGATCAAGTTAGAAAATTGAGTCGTATTATTGATATTAGTGATATATCTTGTATCAATTACTTAAGAATGAGTAGAGATGCATTTGGCCGTATGTGCCATATTCTAGACAGGGGACCTCCATTGTAATAAAAATATCATCATTAGTGAACAAGTTGCTATGTTTCTTCATATTTTTGCTCATCATACGAAGAATGGTATTGTTGGTCATGAGTATGAAAGGTCAGGCCTTACGGTTAACAAATATTTCAACAATGTTTGAATGCCATCATTAAACTACACCCTCTATTTCTTGGCCGCCCGGAGCCTTAGATGAGCATTGCACAAATGAAAGATGGAAGTTATTTAAGGTAACGAATATTTGGTAGTTTGTGCTATGTAATCATACAATGCATGAAATATGCATTATATCTAACAATTTTATGTTTCATTAATGGATTTGCTCTAGATGGTACGTACATCAAGGTGAGGGTCTCGGTAACAGATAAAGGTGGCTAACGTAATAGGAAAGGAGATATTACCGTAAATATTTTAGGCGTTTGTGATTCAAACATAAAGTTTATTTACATCTTAAGTGGGTGGGAGGGAAGTGCTGCAGATAGTAGAGTTTTGCGAGATGCAATTACTAAAGAAAATGGTTTGCGTATTCCGAAGGGTAAGTTATTTGTTTGCTAATTCCTGATAATTCTAAAATTTAAAAAATATCTCTTCATAAACAATAAAAACTAATATATAGATGTTATATATATTACAGGTAGTTACTATTTGGTTAATAATAGATACACAAATGGAGAAGGATTCTTAAGCCCTTATAGATCCGTTAGATACCACTTGGATGAGTGGGGTGAAGGAAAGTCTAGACCCCGGGAAGAATTTTTTAACATGAAGCATTCAAGAGCCCGTAATGTGATAGAGCGTTCATTTGGCTTATTAAAGTCACGGTGGGGAATATTGCGAACTTCGTCTCATTATCCCATCAAAACTCATAATCATATCATTATGACTTGTGCATTACTTCACAATTATATTCGAACTGAAATGCCAATAGACCCTATTGAATTGAACATGAAGTTCCAGATCTCGAACAAGAACCTATTGACCCAATTGACTACATTGGCGTTGTTGAGTCTACTCCACAGTGGAGTGGTTGGAGAGACAATCTAGCTACATCTATGTACAATCAATGGAGGCGATAATAGATTGTAACAACTATTTTATATAGTGAAGATGGTTGGGTCAAAAATATATGCGATTTTATCCGTTGTATTAGACATTATTCAGACATTGTGTTTGTATTTGAAATTCTTCAAACAATTGTTTTGTATTAGCAAGCGTTTGTGTTGTCTTGCATATTTGTTATAAATTTTAATTTTACTCAACATCAGACATATCTTTGTGTTTATGTTGTCATTATAAGGATCAATGGATACTCAAGGAAGTAGCAAGACTGGGTGTAGAGCTGGAAAGAAATCTGACAAAAGTCGTCGCATTTGGTCAATGCGTGAGGAATAAGCATTGATAGATGCTTTAAAGGACATCATTCCGATGGGCGGAAATGCCCAAACGGATTTCGTACCGGCTATTTGGGTATTTTAGAAAAATCTATGGTACAAACATTTCCTGGATCCGACTTACGTGCCGACCCATATATCAATTCAAAGATTCATGTTTGGAAAATGACTCATGAGACTTTGCAAACTATGATGTCTCGTAGCGAATTTGGTTGGAATGACACATCTCAAATGATATCAGTAGAGGACGATGTTTGGAAAAAAGTGTAAACGTAATTTCCATCTAAAATTTAATTAAAATTTATGTTTGATATCACTGAAATTTAATTTGGTTATAATATGCAAACTGGTCTTAATGCACGTACAATGAGCTTTAAATTTTTTCCATTTTATCCGGCGTGGATTGAAAATTTTGAAAAGGATAGAGCCATTAGGGAGCATGCCGAAGATTGTAAGAATGCAGATAATGATTACTTGTCGGTATTCGATGACGATGCGAATGGAAATGGATTTGACAACACAAATGAAAATGGATACGATAATGAATTTATGTCCGCCTGTCAAATGCAAGGGAGTGCATCTGAAAAACAAAATCCATCAAAAGAAAGAAAGGTAGCAAACCCTGATAATGTTAAATTCGTAGATACAGTTCAAATGTTTTGTTGACAAACTGATTCAAAGCTTGGGGAGATTGCAAAACGTATTGGGTTTGAGTTTGATGCTTCCGAGAAGCGAACAAAGGTATATGAAGCTTCGTGCAAGATTCCGGGTTTGGATCTTACTGAAAGGACATATGTGTCAATGCAACTAGCAAAAGACAAATAAATTTTAGACTTGTTTTTTAGTATTCCCGATGATGCAAGGGCTGAAATGATTAGGCTAATGATAACAAGACAAGCTCCGTAAGGGAGTTGGTTCTCTTTATCCCCTTCGACTTATTTTGGTATATTTTTATGCTTTACGACTTATTTTGGTATTATTTGTTATATGTTTCGAAATCTACTGCGAAATGTATTTTTGAATGTAAACTATTTATTTATAGGGCAAGAGGGGATATTTTTTTTTAATGAATTATTATTTTGTAACTACAACTGGTTTAATATTATAAGAATAATTGTATCTGCTAATTTTAATTTGTAGAAACACTCTATTTAATTTGTAAGAACAATTGATAGAATTTTAGTAAGTTGAATAGTTCGTACTATATAATGCAGTGTTAGGCATTTTTATTAACTCACATTTGCTGCAAAGGAGTGGCTAATTAAACATTTGATTTTAGTATACTTATTTAAATTCCACACAAATGTGCATAAGCCCTAATTTTAGAATAGGTAATTTTTTTAAGTTGTAGGTGATAGAAGTTAAAAGAGGGCAGTTTGGTCACATCTCATATAAATATTCATTAGTACATTGAAGTAAATGTAGACTTTGATAAAAACAACTTCATCAACATTATAAAGTAAACGCAATACATAATATATTACTTTTCCTAATCTCTCAATTAGTACTCCATTTTATCATTGCGTCCACATCCCATATATATATAGAACTAGACACAAATAAATAAATTAATGCAACTCACACCATAGTTAAACATAATAAATAATTAGGTAAAATAGTGTCAATAGAAATTAACGATGGTTATATATTTTACTAATTAAATATAAAAAAAATAATATTTATAATAAATATTTGATTAAAATTTAATATTTGGGCAGCCGAGGAAAAATATGTAGGTTGCACGTGGGGTCCACAATTTGTTATAGCCTTAAAGGGGAGAACCGGACACCAAATCTCAACAACAATGGCAACACTTTTCAACCAAGTACATTAACCCTCACCCCACGCGCCCCCCTTTTCCCTCAATTGTTCTTCAGAATTCAAAAAAAAATCTTCAGTTTTCTAATTTGTGTATGTTAATGGAGTCAATAGCCGGAAAGAAGAAGTCAACGAGTTTGTTGGCGCCGGGTTTCCGTTTCCATCCGACCGACGAGGAATTGGTGCGATACTATTTGAGGCGAAAAATCTTCGGCAAATCTTTTCGATTCGATGCTATTTCTGAGGTTGATGTTTACAAGTCTGAGCCTTGGGATCTTCCCTGTATGCACCTCGTCAAACCCCTCTTCTTTTTTTTTTTTGTCTTTTTTTATTTATTTATTAATTATCAATTGTGTGTGTGTGTGTGTGTGTTTATTGATAGATTGGTTGACTGCCGAAGTTAGGGTTTTGTGTGTCTGTGACTAGCTGAGGTAGGGTTTTAGTCTGACAATTCGGAATTGCGGTCATGATCGCAGTCTTTCGTTCATCGTTATTATGAAAACCCGAGGAATTCGATTTTATCGTTGCGTATATTTGACTTGATGGATCAATAGTTTACGTACCTCCGAATGCATGATTGGTGAATATTTTCCCTCTATCCTTTGATTAGTTCTTAAGAATGTAATTTACATGGTCTTACAAGTTGTATTGTTTTCGATTAATTTTTTCGAACCTCACCATTGGTGGCGGTGAGGTAGGTCAGTTGATCAAACGAATAACGGACAGGAGAAATTGAGTCCAACTTTTTTCGAGTTTCTTTTTGCAGTTGCATGGTGGTGAATGTCAGATTCTTAGGATTGCAGTACTGTATATTATATATAATATTAAACTAATGCATAATAATCACTCTCCCCAATTCACGTTGCTTCACATATCTTTGTTGATTGTACATTTTATTATCTCCAAGTTTTTAAACGAGTCTTGATTTTTGGTTCATCCTAGACAAGTCGAAGCTGAAGACCAGAGATTTGGAGTGGTATTTCTTCAGCGTGCTGGACAAGAAGTATGGTAATGGAGCAAGGACAAACCGCGCAACCGAAAAAGGGTATTGGAAGACGACAGGAAAAGACAGGGCTGTCTATCACAGGACAAAGGTTTCAGGGATGAAGAAAACTCTCGTTTACCACAGTGGGCGGGCCCCCAAGGGCCAGCGGACTAACTGGGTCATGCATGAGTACAGACTCACCGACGTGGATTTCAATACTGCTGGAATTACCCAGGTGGGTTGTGTTGGCTGCTTCAATCATGTCTCGTGAGTTATTATTTTGCTTCTCAACTCAACCATCCGTACGGAAGACATGCTTTTAGCTGGGAGCAATTAGCATGGATGATGGATGGCCAAAGATTTTATACATTACCACGGGGTAGGTCTAAAGGAAAGAATATAAGAGGAAAACGGGATTCCTCTGTTGATGAAGGATAGTAAATTATTATCTCAGAATCTAACTTGAGATAATATCTTCTAGTTCTGTCCTATTATTGCTGTAATCAGTATATGGCAATAATAACTTACTCTATTTATCTCAAATAAGGCCTCGTTTTCTAATATGATATATAGACCCCCAACTTTTTTTTCCCGTAAACTACCTTCTAGTAATTTTCTGGCATTTTTTTGGGTAATTGTTTAAAGACATAATTTTCACCTTTTCAACCTCATCTGAAACTTCTGAGATGTCAAGAAAGCCCCGTGAAAGTGAGACTGGGTGGTTAATGATTATCGTCATGAAATAACATATTTGAAGAATGCATTATCGTTACAATTTTTTATCTAATTTTTTGTTATTGATATAACTTTTCATGGAGAAGGATGCATTTGTGCTGTGCCGAATCTTTCAGAAGAGTGGTTCGGGGCCAAAGAATGGTGAACAGTATGGGGCGCCATTTGTGGAAGAAGAATGGGACAATGATGAGTTGGAGTCCCTTCCGGAAGATGAGGCTAAAGATGAAGTTGACTTTGGTGGTGATGCCTTTTTGGACGCCCATGATTTACAGCAGGTTTGCACTCTTACCACTTCTGTTTCAATCCTTCTATTTCCCCTCCTTCGCCTACTGCTTAAGAAAGTTATTATAGCCGAGAGGATCGAAATCCCTCAACAATGAATGTTGCAATGGAATTTCTTAATGTAAAAACTAAATAGCTAAATGGGCAATAGTTAAAGGTACATACATCATATGATTCAGTTACGCTTTTGCATTTGTAGTTAGGACAATTACAAAGTTTTGAACACGTTAGCTTTTCTTGGGACATTTGGAGCTAGGGGAAATAACTTACATGAGAATTAGAGAATAAAACTGTTGCAGGAATTTTGCTTTTAGCAAAAGTTTCATGTTCGTAATCCACAATTTATTTGGTAGGATCAACCCCATGTTAGAAGGGGTTTTTTTAGTTATGTTGTTGTCCTAAACCTGTTTTGGGGCGCTTCACGTTTCCAATTTCATCCTCTCCTTGCTTGAAGTTTTTCTTTTTGTCGAATATGATCTCATTTAACAAATCATGATGTATGTAGTGTAAATTGCTGTTTGACTTAATGGATGTTCTTATCGAATATTAATGGATGTTCTTGTCGAATATTAATGACATTTATTGATCTCATCGTCACCCTCTGTCACTCATCCAATATCCATTTATTTATTTATTTTTGGGAATTGAGGGTCTAAGTTGGAATTTCTTGTCCCCTTAAAAACAACTCTAAGAATGATTTTTTTGCTTTTGAAATCATAAAGTTATATGCAGTGCAATGTTTTCTCCTGTGACGCTTTTCAATGGACGATTTTGAATATAATTTATTAAATATAAGAGGCCTTGTTGTAATATGCGTTTTTGTGCCAGATTCTTCAGTCAGATGTTCCACCAAGCACTGCTCCTCTTTCGGGGAACCTCATATTTTCCGATGGCAGCTATGGTGAAGAAAACACATCCTCTTTTAATCATACCGAAAACCTCTCCGTGTGTGCAGGCAATCAGTATCACGATGGCAGCACATATAATTTGCCTGCTTCATGTGATATGGAACTGGTCAAGCAGGAGTCCTACGGTGAATGCAGCAAATCTAGCAACTCTGAGGAACTCGATTTCTTACTCGATGAGCCATTCTTTGATTCTTCCGATAACCTTCTATACGGCAATGAAGGGTTCATTGAAGCTAACGATTTCTTAAGCCCCGTTGAAAATGATAATTCTGCCTTTGACATGCTAAATGAGTACCTTTCGTTTGATGCCAACGATGATAACTCACTGTACTTTGCTAACGATTCTGCATCGATGTTTGGAACCGATGGTCTTGTTTCTGAACAACCGTTGCTTCCTCATAAGGTAATAATTACTGCTAAGCCTTACATTTCTTTCTACTCACTATTCACTTGTAATTCAATTCGGCACCTTTTTTTTTTTCTGTGCCAGGAAATGACCGAAGAAACTGCGCAAGCTATTTTGCCAAACGGACAACATATTGCAAATAACAACAATAATGAAGTATTGCCATCTGATAAGCAAGAGTCGGCAAAACAATACTCAGGTACTGCGTCTTTGTAACAGTTATCGACAGAATAATGAAGTGTTCTATCGACATTTTTACATCCTTTTTTTCCAGGCAAACTAACTTGGTTTTCATGTGTTTGCAGGCTTGGATTATCCATTTATCAAACAGGCAAGTAAAATATTAGGAAATCTACCTGCTCCACCTGCATTTGCTGCAGAGTTTCCTTCGAAAAATGCAATTCTTCGTCTGAATGGGGCAAAGGACGAGAACTTCAACGTTATTGTTTCTTTTGGATATTCACGAGGTAATGATGGCTCTTCGAATTTGGAATCGAGTGTTCGCATACAAACAGGGAAGGCAGCTTCTTCTGCTATGTCTAGGGGTTGGCTCTTCTTCGTTTTCTTTTTCTTCGTATTTTTCTCCATGACCTTCAAATATGGCACCTATTTATGTGCCAATTGAATGATGTCTCTGTGACCGGTCCTCCTCCAATGCCCTAATACAATTTATCGCATGCCCGAAAACTTTTTCTGAACTTGCCGATGTATTTTTTTTTTTCATTTTCTTTAAACGATACATATAAGAAATTTTATTGTTTAGTTAGTGATTAAGTAGGATTGGAGCACTGTCTGGGTTGACTGATTGATTATACTGCCAATAAACTCCATTGTTTTTCTTTTCTTTTTTTTTTCTTTTTTTCTTCGAGTCTTATGAATGCTTCTCAGTTGATGTAAAATAGATTATGATTTATGTGTGGATATACTTGTAAATAGGTTATATCTCAAGGTATAATTTACACTTAGGCCTCGTTTGGTTGGGAAGATGAGTTGTTATTAACTAAATAATCACTTTGTTTGATGTTTGGCATCTCTAATAACTTTGTCGGATTGATCCGCAAATGTTATGTTGTCACGGATTATCTTGCCTTGTATGCATATTTCTTGTTAAACGTTCCAGGATCCAATAAAATAGTTGGGTTTCTCGTTAGATTATGTAATCTTTATCTTGATTAATCTTATCTAGGCAACAAAACGAGGCCTTGTACTTGTATACTAGTGCGATTTGTCGAATAATACGTATAACTTTGAATGCAGGTACTTTTTTCGGTGCACGTAAAAATACAAAGAGTAATTTATATTGCGCCGCACAGCGTAAAAATAATAACCGAGTGGCCACTGTGGCTTACAAAGGGCAGTAACATGCTATAAACATGAGAGAGAGGGGCTGCAAATAAGTTCAATTTTGTTATCAAATGGTGGGATTCAAAATCCTGCCATTTATTAGGCACAAATGTTTCGGTCGATTCTTACATAATAATCACATGAAAAATGTCGCATCACATATGTTCATTTGTTCGATTTCTTCGGTGCGGTTTCTCTGCTAAAAGACGCTTTACATTTCTCCTGGAAGCATTGTATCTCCAGGAAGATCACACACAGCGATACCCTGAAATAAAATAAGAAATCGCAATAAAAATACAAGTGATTCATTTTGCATAAGTTCGTCGTATTATAATCGAACAGTAAAAAAAAATTCACCTCTCCAGTGAGATGGGCTACACATTTCTTCTCAGCAAGTAGCTCTGCTTCTGTCTGCAAAAACCGAATAAATATCCAAAATCATATATTTATCGGTTATCAGATATTTAATTAGTGGATAAGGAGAAAAAAGGAATATACCTTCTTGATTCGATTCCAAAGGTAGTCGTCAAACACTACATCCTTGACAAGTTCATAATCACCATCTCCCTAAGAATTAAATCGAATAATAATTAGACGTCGGAAATTCGTTATTCAGTGCAACTGTAACCGCGTGCCGAACGAAGTTCAAAAGTCGATATAGCAATGCACTTACTTTAGATCTGCACGGCATACTGAAGACAATGTCATCTGATATACCGTACGGATTTCCAGCCGTATATACCTAAATTTCGTCGAAAAATTCAGATTAAATAAAACCATATAAAGTGAGTTTCTAAATCCAAAATAAATCGGAAAATAGCTTAAAGAAGTAAATTTAAATTCAATTTATCGACAAACTTACTCCAGTTGAAAACCAATCTCCGTCGGGTGTCGGGGTCACGAGTGACCTGATTGCATCAACAATCGAAACAGCAGTGGATGCGGCAGAGGATCGCCCCCATTTCTTAATAAGGACGCCACCTCTCTGAATATTCGATTTTCAAACAAACTTTTCGATTACATTCTGTCGGCCCCACAAAAATAAACATTAAACTTTGTAAACTTACCGTCTGAACTTTCTCCGTGAACTCCTCTTCTAACCAATTAGTATCTTTTATAACTTCTTTCACCGGTGAACCGTCGATTTTAGCATTTAAGAAATCCGGGACCTGAAATTATATATATAGAAAAAAAAAACCACCTTAAAACATTACCGAAAAAATGTCGAGAAAAAAAAAATACTCGGAAGCTAGAAATTGTTCTTTGTAGCTGATGAATGACCTGAGTGGTTGAGTGGTTTCCCCAAATGGTCACGTTCGATACTTTGTCGTAAAATACTCCCGCCTTCAGAGCCAGCTGTACACACCATCAATAAAATATAAGTTTTTTTTTTTTTCCATCTTTGTCGAAAAAAAAAATCGTATATTCAAGTATAGAGTAGGTAGATTGAGTCGACAAACCTGACATTTTGCTCTGTTTTCATCTAACCTAGTCAGAGCATGAAAATTCTTCGCGGGAATATTCGGAGCATTTTTCAAACAGATCAACGCACTTCAAAACGGGAAGAAAAAAAATAAAAATAAATAAATAAATTAGTAAGACAAAACATCACCGAAAAAACGAAATATCATAAACAGCAAGCAAAAAGAGTAGTAATATATAAAATAATTACTTGGTGTTGCAAGGGTTGCCGACAACTATCACTTTCACATTACGAGACGCAACGGCATTGAGAGCTTTTCCCTGCAACGATTTTTTCATTATATACGAAACTGAAAACGTGCATAAGCCAAAAAAGAAAAATACATAAATACGAAGATCAAGAAACCTGATCAGCGAAAATCTGGCCGTTAATGTCTAACAAGGCAGCTCGTTCCATTCCGGGCCCACGTGGCTTAGCTCCAATCAGAAGGGCCCACTCTGCATCTCTGAATACATCGTAAGGATCGATTCCGATGCTCACTTCCCTCAGTAAAGGAAACAAAGAGTCCTCCAGTTCCATTGCAACTCCTAAAAGAATATTAAATTATAATATATATATATATATATATATATATACATATATATATATATATATATATATATAATAATTTTATAGAAACTACAGAAATTCGTGTACCTTCGAGTGCTGTGATGGATCTTTCGGAGCCTAATAGCTTTAATGCAATTGGTTGATCGGGGCCGAAAACCGATCCGCTTGCAAGCTAATACATGAGAGAAATATTGCTTAAACAACTTTGATATAATTTTAAAATGGCTATTCTTCGACTCGGGCGAAAGATACAAAACTACTATTTGCGCACACGATCGCCGTTTTTCCAAGAAAATGCGGTGCGTTTTCATTTTAAAAACAGAGAAGTTTGAAAGAATTTTTTGTTGTTCTTAATTTTTTTTTTCGTCTTCTTATTTTTGAACACTAAATCGAATACAATAGCTAGACGAACAATAAAAAAAGATTCTTACTTTGAAGAGAAGATGATTGGATATCATCCCGGCAGCACCCGAAACGGCAATGTTAATCAATTTCTTCCATGATTTCGTTTCCTCTTCCTGCGAACATGAAATCGTTTGATAAATTTCCGAATCAAAAAATACAAGATATCGACCTAAAAAACGGAAAATTACTTGATACAAAATAAACGGCATTTATCGAGAAAGAGTATACGGTCTAAAAAAATACTTACAGCTTTGAGGTCATAAGTGAGACAGAAGACACCGAAACATTCCGGTTTCTTCTTGGCGTCCTCTATATTCAGAGCCACCGGCGCTTGCACTTCACTGTTAAAAAGAACGGCATTTATCGGGAATTTCATCAAACATGTTTCGAGCATTAAAAATAAATTATAAAATAACATGTCACGAAAATCGAAAATTCGTACAGGTACAAGCGCTGTCGCCGTTGCATGATAACGTATAGCGATGTTAACAAAACGGTTTAGGCAAGTGCACTCTTTGTCCATAAGACGATACAGACTACGATTTTTCGCAATTCAAATTTCAAGAACAACAACTGTTTTCGACTCTCGAAAAAACAATACCGATTATTTCGATCGGGCTTAAAAAGAAAGAACAAGTCTAAATTATAATTTTGGAATGTGGTGATATGAAATGATGGATTAATGAGTTCTATTTATAGATTTCTTGAAAAATAACAAGTCTTTGGAAATTGATAGATTGAAAAGGTACCAATACCTTTTCACATGATTTGAACAGTATATATATATATATATATATATATATATAACATCAGCTCTTCATCAACCCCAAGTACAGTTTTGAAACAATAAACACAAATAAATTAATTCCATTTTAAAGATTCAAACTTTGTCGAAGAACAGGGCAAATTGAAGGGGGGAACTACTCTTACTTGGATGTCACGGAACAACTGATTCTTGAATTCTGGGAAACCGGGACCGGTCTGAGGTTGACACGGCGGTGACACGCGAGCCGGGTTGACACGTAAGAGAATCGCGAGTGAAGGGTTGTCTTCGGGGTTAACTCCGCCGCCGCCGCCGCCATAGAAACTCCGGTAGCAGAGTGTGTGTGTGTGTGTTTAAAATTAAAGTGGAGAAGTGAGAGTACAAAATTTGGGAGGGAGAGAAGAGATGGAAAGGAAAGGAAGGAAGTTGATAAATAAGTTGTGAGTTTATGAGGCTTAGCGAACGACACGTGTCGATGTGTGTAAGAGGATATATAATCTCATCTCTAAAATGCTTTGGAAGTACGTGTGTGTGTGTGTGAGAGAGAGAGAGAGAAAATTAGTGTTATTTGATTCACAAAGAAAGACATAATGCTGCTAAGTGGTAACTGTAGTTTTCAATTGTTTCCCACAAACGAGGAACAATACAAATTAGAGCAACTTTTGCTGAAATTCTTTCCACTAAAAATCTTGAATATCAGAAAATCTGATTAGAAATACAACCATACATTCCAAGATCTTCCATTTGTTTGTTCATCGCCTTATTTGAATATTAACTATGATTTCAATCTTATTGGTATCTTTCATAATATTTATTTTCCAAAATCAATCCAAGAGCCTTGATCGAATTGATTTAATCGATAAATTACGGTCACTTCATGATGTAAGCTTAAATTACAAAAAACTATTCATGTTTGGGTAATTACAACCCACCCATAAACTATGAATTTTTTTATACATCCACCCTTATGGTGTCAAATTCAACAGAATTTTTTAGCCTCCATGGAATGTTCTCTAGTTTGTACTCGTTTTGTGCAAAATGCAGTCTCTGATACACCACAATCTAATATTTAGAAGTCAAAAAAACACATCTTATGATAATCTTGCATTCAACATGTGGAGCTCGAATGAGATAAAACAAGTACAAACTGGAGAATATTCAACATAATCTTGAAGATTCCACTAAATTTGACAACATAATGGTGGACATATAAGAATTTTCATATTTGAGGGGTGGTGGTAATTAGGAGTGGTAAACGAACCGAGCCGGCTCGACAAAGGCTCGAACTCGAGCCCGAGCCCAGTTTTAGTTGTTCGACAGCTCGCGAGCTGCTTTTTTTATTTTTTTTATTTTTATATATTATATATATTATTAAGTTTTATTATTATTATTATTATTATTATTATTATTATTATTATTATTGTAAATAGTCTATAATAATAAATATTTCAAGTATTTAAATAGAAACAAATCTATATTACTTATATAATGCATTAATAATATAAAATATTATAATAATACTAATAATATAAAAATATAATAATAACTACAGTTCATTATTTATTTTATAATTTTTTTTTAAATTTTACTATAATTTTTAATAAAAAAATTAATAACTAAAAACAAAGAGAGAGAGAGAGAGAGAGAGAGAGAGAGAGAGAGAGAGAGAGAGAGAGAGAGAGAGAGAGAGAGAGAGAGAGAGAGAGAGAGCCTAAATGAGCTCGAGCTCGAGCCAAAAAAATAACTTGATGAGCTCGAGTTCGAGCCCGAGCTCGGCTCCTTCACACCTCTCGTTGTAATTACCCAAACATGCCGAGTTTTTTTGTAATTTGATCTTACCTCAAGGAGTGGACGTAGTAACGTTAATTTAAATAAAGTAATTATTTTCTCTTTATCAATATAAATTTCAATAGAATTATGTTTTTATCCGATTATGATGAACTGTAGGTCAAGAAATATTTTCTTTTCCAAACGAATAATTGTTGCAGAATACCAATGAGCATGCATGATGAGACGATTACAAACATGATTTTGACCGATTTGCGAAAACTCAAACATCAAGTTTTTAAAATGGCCAAATTCACGTTCGAGATCGACTTATTGTGGATTGGGAAAGTCATAGTTCAATTATCTATAACTCTTTTACACGATATTCAGATTAGCTGATTTAAGTAAGATTAGAAAATTTAAGTAAGATTAGAAAGTCAACTCAAATGACTAAACTTTGATATTTGAGTGTTGTCAAATTCTGATTGTAAGAGAGTTAACATGACATTTAAAATCGGTTCATCATGATTTGCTCATTTTGAACATGACCAGCAATTATTTTGTTCGAGAAAAAATATTGTTTTACGTACAATTCTTTCATAATCAAATAAAAAAATACGTTTATTAAAATGTTATTCACAAAAGGGGAAAATACTTTGATTCAACTTGATTAGAGCTCTTTTTTTTTTTTAATCTTTTTTTATTTTTTTTGACGAAAAATGAGATCAAAAGGCTATAAGGAAAAGGAATTATTGTATATTCGTATTTAGGTAAAAGTAAATTAAAACATTATTTAGCAACTTCCATCTATAATTTTTTTTATAAAAAAGAAAAGAGATTTCTCATTTAATTATGGGGTTATTACTTATTACCAATAAACACATGGCGTGGGCTACTTATTATGTTATTCATAATTAAATCCATCCAAGAACATTTTATAGAAAAATTCAGACAAGGCTCAGATATGTAGAAAAGACTAAAATACCCTATGAAATATTAATATACTCTAATTCCATCCCTTTAATCTCAATTATCCAATTTTGATTGGCGCCGTCGTTGACACCCGATCTCCAACATTGACTTTTTCGCCCGGCACAAACAATAATGTTACTGTGGTTGACAATAATATGAATTATATTATTGTCTAGCAAAGTAATGTTATAACCAATTTTAACCAATTTTGAAAAAATCGAGGTCATTGGTTAATTGATGAGATTGGGGTTAAATTATGGTTGGATAAAATTTTAGGGGTTTTTAGAATATCTTGGAGGAATACAGGGGTCTTATTGCAATTTTCTCAAATAAAAACCCAAAATTCAACCGTTGACCGTTACTTCTTGACGGTCAAACAGACGGAAGGACTCAATGTGTTAAAATGTGACAACATTAGTGTGCATTTTGTTAACGGCAGTACATGGAGGACCAAAACTGTAATCATCCCTTTTATAATAGGTAAGTTAAGAACATATATTTAGAAACATGAGGGAAAGGAGTGAAAGTGTTGAATTTTTGAAACATAAGGGATCAAATGTATTTTTTGTTAATATAGGGGACCCAATGTAAAATCAATGAAAATGTGAGGGACGAAAACTGTATTTTTCCCTTTAAAATACTTGTATGTAAATTACTAGTTTTGAGCATTTTGAACAAGTATATGGCTTAAATTGCTTTGAAAAAATGATATTCAATTTTGATACAAATAGTAAATCATAACACCAAAATTTCGGTAATAGTAGCGATTCAAGGAATTTGGTACGTTATCCTACCAAAACCATCATTAATACTACTTAGGTTGTGTTTGCAAAAGTGTGTACATACATTGCAAAATGAACTTTTCTTTTTACTTCTCTTAATACTAGGAAGGTGGACGTGCGTTGCACATCTTGAGTTAATTTATTATGATTTTTTTTTTTTGCTTATATTGTTTTTGATAAGTTGTTTATAAGCTATTTTTACTCATGATTATAATATCTTAAATAAAAAAGTGGGAGCGGTACTTAAAAAAAAATCTTATTTGCTCTCAAATAACTTATTTCTTTAATTTTTAAGATCTTTTTTTTTTTTAAATTAACAAACACATTGGAAGAGCTTATAAACTCTTAAACATATATAAGTTCTTATTAATAACTTAAAAGCTTGGTCAAACACCTTCTAAAAGCCGATGATGTTGTTACGCCTTATTTCTTGAATTAGTTTTTAAAGTGTTTGAATTATGATCTTCTGATAAGCTATTTTTACTCGATATAATATCTTAAATAAAAAGGTGATGTAGAGCTAAAAAAATTAAAATCTTATTTTTTCTTTAGCCGCTTATTTTTTGAATTTTTTTAGATATTGTTTTTCAATTACCAAACACTTTAGAAGAGTTTATACTCTTAAACGTCTTATAAGCTATTTTAATAACTTATAGATTAGCCAAATACCCTCTAAATTTAAGATTGAAATATGTTTAGACTCGTACATTCTACTTATTTTTTCATTTATAAGTCTAATAATCTTAATTTTATTTTATTATATCTTTAAATATGGGTATCTTTTTCCAAAATTTGATGTGCTCGTGGTTATCACTTAAAAATGTTATTACTTTGCTTCTTCTTATACTGATTAGTTTTCTTTTCTTTTTATTTTTATTTTTAGCTTCTTTTTTTTCTTGTAACCACCTTTTTTTTCTTTTGGAACTCTATCACATTTTCGTTGATAGATTATTAATGTATATATTTCCCTTACCGTCCTTCACATAATATTTGTTTTTTATAGTCTAAGAAAAAAAAAGGTTCATTGAATATTATAAGTTTATGTATTTCTCCGAATATTTTATTGGTGTTCAATATTTGATTATAAATGAGGGTAAAATTGATTTTGCACACCATATACTATGTGAAAGGTATTATTTACCCCCTGAAGTATAGAGAACATCAAATACCCCCTATTTTTAACAGTCAATGGTCAAACTTTTGACGGTGTTATATTTGAGGGTGCAATAACTTCTTTACCCTGCTTTATTTCTTATATAATCCCTAATTTTCTAGGCGTATTTTGTGTGTATTGTTGACGATTTTTAGCGTTCGTTCAAATTATGGACTTTAGGGATTTTCAGCTTTCTTTTTCGGGGATTTTCCTATTATAACATCAAAAGCTTTGTGTTTAATTTGCAATACTTTCATATGGTTTTATTCTAATTTTAGGGTTTATTTTAGATTTTAGGGCTTTTAATTTTCCTTTTTATGAGTTTTACATTCATAATCTGCAAAGCTTCTTATCTATTCGACTTTTCAAAAAAAATTATAAGAAAAATGTTTGAAAATAGTAAAAAAAAATAACTGAATGAAGTGAAAAAAGGGCTAAAAAAAGAAAAAATCTGATGAACATTTGTCAAAATTAAGCAACCTTTATATATAAATTTATTTGTAAAAAAACCAACATATATAGCAACCTATATATAAAAAAAGCCAACATTCCTTTGTTATAGTCGGTCAAAGGGTTTGACTAACGGAAATTTGAAAAAAGGCTAATAGCAGGGGTGTTTGATATTTTCCATACATCAGAAGGGGTAAATGATGCATTTCACATAGTACATGGGTATAAAATGAATTTTGCTCTATAAATTGTATAGTAATTAGTTAATACCATTAACATTAAATATTCTTATTTTAGAAGCAGTATCTAAACGTTAAATATACTATACACACATGGATTTGTATAATACTTGGGTATTAGTAAGGCAATAACATTAAATAAAGTTTCAAATATTCTATAAATTTAAAATACTTATTGAGTTATTCATGTTGCACTTGTCCTTGTACTAACTTACCACCTCATGAACCAGTTGACCAACACCCATACGGGATGTTGCACTTGTCCTTATATAGCATGGAAGATGTACCACTACCTAGAATTAGACCAATTACCAATACCTTATATTGTAAACATCAATTGAGTAAAAAGCAGTCTACCCCCAAACAAATGCCCGTTATGCACTTTGCCCCCCAAACAAAAACAATTTGCACGTTCTTACCTAAACTCCGGTTTTTTTTGCACGGTGCCTCAAAATTGGAATTTTCAGGTCATTTTGACCGGAATCTTACACACGTGCTTTTCACGTGAGTTTTAAAGGGGCAAAAAAGTCTATTCACTACATTCTTCATAAATTATATAAAAAAAAGAAGAAAAAAAACAAAGACGAAGAAGAAACAGCAGCAGCTGGGAAAATCTGGATTTGGCTGGGGAATGGATTTCCTCTTAGTTTTCTTCCCGGAGGAACACCACCAAAATCAAGAACAAGAAACCACCACCACCACCGCCGCCGCCGCCACCACCACCAACAAAAAACCCAACAATTTCAATCTTTTCCCAAATTCATCAATTCGAACCACCACCTCCGAAACAAAGCCCAAATCCACAATCTCCATCTGCTTGCTCCTCCTCTTCACACTCTCCACCCTACCCTCATCCGCAGCCACAAAAATGGTGGATCAGCGGCCCTTCTTTTTCTTTTTGTTTTTTTTTTGTTTTTTTTTTATTTATGAAGAATGTAAGTGAATAGACTCTTTTGCCCCTTGAAAACTCATGTGAAAATCACGTGTGTAAGATTCCGGTCAAAATGGCCTGAAATTCCAATTTGGAGGCACCGTGCAACAAAAACCGGAGTTTAGGTAAGAACGTGCAAATTTTTTTTGTTTGGATGGCAAAGTGCAAAACGGACATTTGTTTAGGGGGTAAACTGCTTTTTACTCTTAATAACATATACAACAATAGTTTATATAAAATAATATATAACATATATTTAACATGAAAATTTTGGTACTCATTTCGTGACTAAATTACTTACATTTTAAAAAGAAACAAAGCCAAATAGCAAATTATCCCACAACTTCCCCTCAATATTATTCAAATAGTTTCCGATGTTGTTGCAGTGCACACTTCATCCTTTGTTTCTCTTTTTCTTGTTCCTCATTTGCTGCATATGTAATGTTGCATCATATATGATAGCTTTAATAGATGGAAGATAAACCAAAAAATTACAAGAGGTTTACAAACTTGAGGGTCCGTACAAAAAAGTAAATTTGGTCATGCTTCATGATCCAACTTTTAGGAAATCGAGAAACACAAGAGAGTATAACTTGAAAAAACTGAGAGAAAGATCAAATTAATTGAATTTTTATGGTACTCAAACCATTAACTAAGACCCTTGAGTTTCTTGTATTTAATCATTTATTTTAGATTATAACATATTAAAAGTTTTAGAGCCGATTAGCAAGGTATATCAATAGGAAATTTAATTCCAAAAAAATGCATTGGGATCGTGTGACTTTGAATTCTAGATACATGCATGGTGGTTTTAATCTCATTAATGCAATGAACTGTATGAGGTTAATTATTACTATTATTATTATATTTGTTGTATATTAATTGATAACTAAATTATGTAATTTCCTTCAAATTTTATATGTAAAAGCAATTTAGTGAGGGCATTTTTGTACAAACAAAAAATGGAAGAAACCCCAACCACATTCATCCTTTTATAATTAGTATAGATAAGCAACTTCAAGCTATAATTTGTAAAGCATCATAGATCTGTTTTTGCTGTTGAAGTTGATTTTCCAGCAAATTTGCAAATACCCCCAAATAATCACTTAAAACGAACTTAACTCATAACGCCTTAGGCGAGCCTTAGTGATGATCGACCCGGGAGGTTACCATCACCATCACACACACACAAATACACACACACACACACACACACACACACACACACACATACCAGAAAGAAAATCCAACAATTCAAACTTGGGCGGCCAAAATATGAATCTATCTTGGAAATGTCCAAATAGAAAAGGATGCCCCAAATGTCATAATCCTGACTAAGACAAATTCCCAAAGGAATAAAAATGAGTTGGCACCTCTCTCTACAGCCGGCAACACTAAGCAAATTAACAACCCCAACTGAACTCAACTATAAGGACAAAAACCACAGCACAACAAAAAACTAAACCCTCCAAACATTTGACAAACAAACGCCATAGGAAAACTCACATACTTTCTTACATGTTCATCTAAACATGCAACAAAAAAAATGTGATTATCTGAGCCAAAGATAGGTAGAATAACAATGGCCATGACTACTAGTGAGGAAGAATCATCAATCCCCAACTCTTTCGACAACAAAAACGGCTTCAACCCACAAACCGGAATCTACCACTCGCTAGTCCAACTCAACGAGCATCAAAAGATCCCTTCTCACCCTAACCTCGACATCGCCACTTACGTCCTCTCCCACTTCCCACCACCGGACAAAGCCGAAAAACAAGTAGCGTACATCGACTCCACCACCGGCCGCCGCCTCACCTACGCCCAACTCCACCGCTCGATCACCTCCCTCGCCTCCGGTTTGTACCACGGCCTCGGCCTCAGAAAGGGCGATGTCGTCTTTATCCTATCCCCAAACTCCCTACTCTACCCTATCATATGCCTAGCCGCACTCCACATCGGGGCAATTATCACAACCGCCAATCCGCTCAACACCGAACGAGAAATCGTCAAACAAGTACGCGATTCGCGCGCAACACTGGCCATCTCGGCCCCAGAGGAGACACACAAGCTACTCCCCACTCGAGTGCCTATTCTACTTACCGCTAAAAAAGACGGTCAACTTTCAGTAGAAGAGCTAATTGAGAATTGCGAATATATAGAGATTCCGGAAGCAAAGCCAACTCAATCTGACGTGGCGGCAATTCTCTACTCATCGGGGACCACCGGAACTAGCAAGGGAGTGGTGCTAACGCACTCCAACTTCATCTCTGTCGTCACACTGCTCAAGTGGTCCGTGGACGTAACAAACGCCCGCAAAGATATCTTCCTATGCTTCATACCTATCTTCCACATATACGGGCTAGCGTTTTTCGGGCTAGGGTTAGTTTGCACGGGTAACACAATCGTTCTAATGAAAAAGTACGATTTCCAAGAAATGCTCGAAGCCATTGAGAAGCACAAGGTGAGTAACATACCCGCAGTTCCTTCGGTTATACTCGGCCTAGTCAAGTACAACGGAGGAGGAAGACACTATGACTTGTCTTCTCTGCGACGAGTGGGATCGGGGGCGGCCCCCCTTAGCAAAGAGGTGATCGGAAAGTTCCGGATGAAGTTCCCGCGGGTCGAGCTTAGGTCGGGCTACGGTTTGACCGAGAGTTGCGGAGCAACTACTTTATTTTCTTCTGACGAGGAAGCGGAGGCTCGCCCCGCCTCGTCAGCGAGGTTGCTCCCGTGTTTTAAGGCTAAGGTGGTGGATTTCGAGACTGGATTAGCTTTGCCGCCGTACAAGGAAGGGGAGTTGTGGCTGAAAAGTCCAACGGTGATGAAAGGGTATTTGGGGAATGAGGAGGCGACTGCTGCATCGTTTGATTCGGAAGGGTGGTTGAAAACGGGCGATCTTTGTTATTTTGACGATGAAGGGTATGTTTATATAGTGGATCGGATAAAGGAGTTGATCAAGCACAACGGTTATCAGGTTTGTTTTTGGTAGGACTATGTGATGGTAAAAGAGATTATTAGTTACTTGGGACTGAATTGTTTTACAAATGTAGGTGGCTCCTGCAGAGTTAGAAGCAATACTATTAGGACATCCTCATATACTTGATGCAGCAGTTATACCGTAAGTTGTCGTTTACATGCCTTTTACATCTTCTATTTCACTCCCCTTCACATACACGAATAGGATTGGGAATCAAATCGAACTACTCGATTCGATTCATAATCAATAGTTAAAAACTCGTTTGAGCTTAGTTCACTATGATAGTGAACCAAGCTTCAACACATATAGAATATCAAATTCGGCTAGAGCTAAACTCAATTAGAATAAAAATGAAAAAAAAAAAAATCAAGCTACTCGAGCTCGATTTGTGTTCAGCTCGGTCCAAGCTCATACGAGTTTGATTCAAGTTCGATAAAAGTCAACGGATCAGCATTTCTGCGTTTGAGTCGACTAGATTCATTTATGTGACGTATGCGCACAAAAACTCACTCTCTCTATCACTCACACACACAAACACACCCGCACACGCACACACCCGAACACACACACAACAAAGATGAATAACATGGAAATGCATATAAACCGAAACCGAAACCTTAATATGAAATCTCTAACACGGTAAGAAAATCTAGCAGAATGGAAGATGAAGCAGCAGGACAAATACCTGTAGCGTATGTTGTCAGAGCAGATGATGCTAAGCTAACAGAAGATCAAGTCATCCAATTTGTGAACAACAAGGTACTATCAAGATTAATACTTTCCCGCTTCTTTCTGCAGCTTTTTCGTGACATGAGTTACTATTCTAAGACATAATAATAAGGATTTTTTTCTAGGTAGCACCGTACAAGAAAATAAGGAGAGTAAGTTTCATTAGTGCCATACCAAGGTCTGCTGCAGGCAAAATATTGAGGAGGGATTTGATATCACAGAGCAAACATCAAATGTTCTCCAAATTATGAAGTAAGTTCCCTTCACATTTTGTCGAAAAGAAAAAGAATCTACGGAGCCTTATGAAGAGGTGATGGAGGAAAGTTGATGTAAATTTTCAAGTGGAATGGCTGTGTGTGTAAAATAATATGAATTTTGTGATGTGTTTTTTCGTCAATAAAAGTGGTTCAAGCCTTGCATTCAATAGGTATGGATGTTCAAAAAATAATTGTCGAATAAAGTTGTGAAAATATGCAGATATGAATGTTTTGGTGATTGGTGTGGTTCTAAATTTCAAATAAGGTTCACTATGTCAAATAACCTAAGAAACAGACACTTACTCTGGTCCGAAACAAATCTGTAAGAACGTACTCAATCCAGTTTTGATACAAGTAGAATAGCCTTCTTTAGCTCTGGTGAATGGAAGTATCACATAAATAAATAATTAAGGAATAAACCAAAATACATATGCCCTATGATTACATGAAACAGCAAAGTAATTTATTCTTAAAAACTAATTCAAGAAGAAAAAAAATGTCAAACCGATGAGGTGAAGAACAACGCTTAAATAGACAAATTTGGTTTTTTCTTTTCCTTTTTTTTTTTTTTTTTGTTTTTTATCTAGCTTTCTATGCCCCAAAATTGTACAAGAGCAGAAAGCACTTTAAAATTCACAGTAGCAAGTATATCGACCCAAGTAAAGGTTATGCCGTTTCCAGGGAATATTCCGGTGGGATCAACACATTGTATTCCAGTTCTAGGAGAGTATGCTGGCCACTGACCTTTGTATAACTTCACGTTTTACCCAGTAGCCCACTTCCAAATGCCACCAGACCGCTGCCTCTGGACTTGTGTAGAAATCTCGATATCACGTTCAAATGCAGATTTTTCTGTCCTAAGAGCTTGAACCTCTTGTTCTAATGATGGCATCGATTCAAGCATCTTCCTTAACTCACCTATTTGTGCCTGACAAAATACATAATGCATATCAGTTAAAATAAAAAAATCAAGAAAATCTAAGTAAAGAAAAGGGAAATGAAAGATATAAGTAAGACCTCAAGTTTGGTGCATCTTGATCTCTCAGCAGCAAGCTGTCCTTGCACTGAATGTAACTCCTGCAATTATGAATAAGATCAAATATCTGACAAATAAAATATTCGGAAAAACTTCAACAATTTGATCTGGAAACCAGACCTTGGACAACTCAGCATAATTTCCATTTGCTTCTTCGAGCTTAGTCCTGAGAGCGGAGGTCTCGGCTGTGAACTCACTGAGTGATAATTCCAAAGCCTTCTTTTCTTCTCTGATTGAATCAATTTCTGCCGAAAGATTTTGCTGATAGGTATCCACTGGGATTACCTTAGAGTTTGAATCTTCTTTATCAGCGAAATCAACCGTTTCAGGATTTGCTATGGCAAATGCAGCAGTAACAGAAGCTGCAGCAGCAGCAGCTGCTGGTGATTGCAGTATCTTAGGATGTAAAGAGTCCCTTGGTTTGACCCTCATAACAAACACCTGTAGATAAATAAATATAGAGACCTTATTGGTTGGTTGAACAAGCCAAAGGCAAAACAAAAAAGTTGAGAAGTTGAAAATTGACAAAAGTCGTTGTTAGTGAAAATGTAATCCGAAGCAAAGAAAAACTCAGAAAGGTAGCGAACAAGTGGTATCCCAAAATAAAGACAACATGAAAAGTTTATATTTCTGCTGCATGGCCCTCAAACTTGTATCAAGGTATAAAATATCTGACATAGAAAGCTTTAAAGTTGAAAGAACCTCATACAATCATGAAACTGAAAACAATGAAGAAAATACGAGGGAATCTCAAGTGAATGTAAGTAAAGTAAACCATAAGAAACATGAAACATTTTCGGAATGCTTTAAGCATGTTATTCAATATTGTGAACTCTAACTTAACGAATTCCATATACAGGAATCCATTACTGAACATACACCAGCACAGAAGCTGGATATTGAAAATATCGGTTGGTGAGGTCAGCGTTAAGTAGCTTTTATGAGTAGAAAATGCTAAAGTTATGCCTAAATGATTACACCAAGGCCGAAATTTTAGAGCCCAGTTCCTTGTTTTCTGAAAATATGGAATTTTTCAAAAACCGACAGGAATAACAAATTTCATCCTTCATATAAATTCTATAGAATTTCACATCATTTTTTCAAAAATTTATATGTTTAACGCCAAGAGACTTCGGAAACTATCCGCACTCAAATTCATGAGAACGCTGTTCTTTAACACTTTGACCTAGTAAAAATGATTATCACCTAAAATTATTAGCAAACTAGATATATTTGATATCGAGAATTTACTCCCACATGCAAAAGCTTCCCTACAGCCACCAAAAATCCAAAGCGTTTAATTAGAAATATTATACTAGAGATATTGCATTTCATGTGGGAATAGGACAGTTCCATCCATATATCATAAATTTGCATACTGACTATATAAGTTATAACGATACATCATCTCTGTCTCCTCCTAGTAAATTTACCAGACCCATAAGAGACAACTACTCAACATCTCATTTGTAAGACAAACAAATATATACATCTGACAATATTATTAAGCACGTTTTGAAACCCATAATCCTTTGTGTTATGAAGGTAGATAAACTTCAACACAAAACATACCTCGTTGTAGTACTTCCCATTGTAGCCACCAAAAGTAACCAGGAAACTCTCACCACCTAGTGAAGCAGATGAAATGCTGATTCCCTGTTTGCAGCTTCATATCAGAATTTTGTGCAGAAAAATATTTTGGATATGAGGGAAACTGCAGTTATTGCGACTCAATGCACAATCTAGAATGTAAAAATGCACAACAATTATATTTTTAATAAAATTATTCTACAAATTATTTTTATTTATTTAATCATCAGAATGAAGTGTCAATACTTAAGTCATTAAAAATAATCAAGACACAACTGATGACTCAATTTGACCCAAGGTCAAGATAAAACTTAAATCAATTTCATTTCATTTCATTTGACCACAACTGACATAATCATTTACCCATGATTCAATTTGACCAGCCTTACCCCCAATTACAATATAATATAATGGCATAAAACGAAATAAATCAGAGATTATAAGAACAAATTGAAAATTCAAATACAAGAAAAAATCAGGGCAAGAAAATCTGTAGTATTCAAGTGCAAAATAGACAGTGTAGCCATATATATTCGGCCATCCTGCTTACAGTTAACACGTATCAGTACCCTTCTGGTTAACATTCTTTAGCTCAGATACTTCATAGAATAGGAGGATGTGAAATACTGCATTACCTCACTAGCTAGTGGATCTCTTCCTTTTACACTAGTCAGCACTGATACAACAAGCTTAGACATGTTTATAACAACGGTTTCAAGGGCACCTGCAAGGAAAATGATCTTACATCTCACACATTCACAGCAATTAAAAAAGCATAGGCTAATGTATGAAATGAATAGAAATGTTGTGGGGAAACTGGAGAGCATATTTCACTTACCACTTTTATTATCTCCACCGCCAACTACAAACCAGTTTCCATCAACTACAACACCAGCATGACCCGCCCTGGCATTCACCAGATCACCCTGCATTTGTGGTTGGGACCATTCCATCTGCACAAGATAACAATATTGGTATCCTGTTTGTAGAATTAAAGAAATGCAAACAAGTTGACAGACTATTATGCCAAATGTAACCCCTAAAAATGAAATATCTACCAGCGGAAATTAATGCCCCAACTTTCTTCTCCTATTCCACACTGACCGACCATGATGTTCTTGGTTGTTTTCTTTTTATGACAAGACTGTACATGAAAGCAGTTTTGGATCGCAACCCAACAAAATTATACTTATTCTCTTAGGAAATATAAAAACATATCGAACTTCCAGCAGTTTCGGTCACGAAACAGCAAGTGTGTGTGTTTGTGTGTGTGAGTTAGGGGTGGTAAACGAGCCGAGCCGGCTCGCGAACTCGACGAGCCGGCTCGAACTCGAGCTCGAGTAAGCCCAATTTTAGTTGTTCGGCAGCTCGCGAGCCGGCTCGCGTTTATATATATATATATATATATATATATATATATATATATATATATATATATATATATATATTATTAACTAAATAGTAAATAGTCTATAATAATAAATATTTCTAGTATTTAAATAGAAACAAATCTATATTACTTAAATAATTCATAATAATATAAAATATTATAATAATAATAATATAAAAATTAAAAAAATATAACTACAGTTCATTCATTATTTATTTTATAATTTTTTTCATTTTACTATAAATTTTTTTTAATAAAAAAATTAATAATAAAATAAAATAAAATAAAAAATTTAATAATAAAATAAAATAAAATAAAAACCTAAATGAGCTCGAGCTCGTCAAAATTGGCTCGAGCTCGAGTTCGAGCCAAAAAAAAAAAATAAACTCGATGAGCTTGAGCTCGAGCCGGCCAAAACAGCCGAGCGCTCGTTCACACCCCTAGTGTGTGTGTGTGTGCGTGCATATATGTTAATATTTTAAATTTTCTTCTATCATGTAAAAAATCAATTGCAGGACAATAATGCTACAAGAATCTGCAGCCAGTAAAGGGAAATTTCTGGCAGATCTACAACATACATTCAGAAGTTCTTATGCCAAAGAAAAGATGCTGTGAAATCAAACATTAAGAAAAGAAACTCCAGGGATGCAGAGAATAGGAAAATTCCTTGACAAAATATAATTTTGTTTCCATATAATATAAGAGCATATTCGGGTCAATATGAAGGATAAGATAAAGAAGTCCTCTGAAGAATCTGCATGTGGTCACTAGAGATTCACTTTGCATATGGCTTTCTATTAACCCGGCTCATTCTTCTTAAAAAATGTATGAGAAATGTTGAATGAGCTTATCTAAACTTCATCTTGATAGGCTAATGCACACATGGAAATAATCTAAACCATAACAAGTTAACATGCTTCACTCGATGTATTAACTAACAAGAGGGAAAACTTGCCGTTTCCAAATCCAGCACATGGATGTCATTGAAAAAGACAGAATGAGAGCATCCACCAAAGATAAAAAGGTATCGTTCAGCATGCAGTGCAGCTATGTGATCAAATCTGGGGGCTGGAGGTGTCTGCCTGTCAAAATACAACAAAAAAATAAGAACTATTCCATGAACATGTATTTCAGAATACATAAATCGAAGTAGATAACATACGTAGTCTCAATAGCACTCCATGTCATTGTCTCCAAATCGAGAACGTGAACATCATTTAACAGTCGTCTATTCCAGTCCTCTCCACCAAACATGATAAGTTTAGAACCAAACAGTGTGACAGATTGTCCACTGCGAGCTACCTAATGAAAAATGCCACAAGAACACTAATAATTACATCATTAATGAAAAGAGAAGCATCCATCACTCGTCAAGTTACAGAACAAGTATATATATATATATATATATATATATATATATATATAAAATAAAATTGGAAACACAAGTGGTGACGAGAAGATAGAAATTATAGTGAGTCAAAAGATCAGTTATTACCGGAACATTTCCAAAGGTCTCTACAACAATGCAATTGTGCGATTCAGGATCAATGAACCGTACTACAGAACATACACAAAAAAGTATAGAATTAAGAGAGAATCAACATTTGGCACCAAAAACACAATAAATAAAGATCAATACATTATTCTGGTAGGAACAGTAAATTGAAAGGTTATGCAGTCCTAGGTTGGATCCAGTAGAAACGAACCTGTCACCCTGTCAGACATATTTTTCGAGAGACCAGCAAGAAGGAGAAGTCTCTTTCCCCACTTGATCTGGAGATAAAAGCTTAGGTTTATCGACTAAGTAAACGAAAGAAGGTTATAACTCCAGAACAAACTAGCGCTACTGTGAAGCGTAAAAAATGAACCACAGACAACACCTGCTACATAGAAATACTAATTCACAAAAGCAAGAAAAAGAATCTTCTAGAATCTCACCATACTGTGACCAGAGATTGCAGGAAAAACTTCCAATCGGCTACCACCTTTACTTTCCACATCATTGGCCTCCATGTTTACTTTTATAGTAGACCATGTCAAATTTTTCAGATCAAATACCTAAATGCATTGCAAGAAAATAAAAATTTGTGTAGAAGCAAAGTTTCATGAGTAACAGCAAAGAAGAACTAGCAATACCTGAAAATCAGATAAATATCTCCCGTTGCGACTTCCACCCGTAACATATAAGTTCTCATCAAGTACTGTGGCAGCATGCTGTACGGCACGAAGAAATGCACCGGGGGTGGGAACAAGTTTCCCAAAAATATAGCAAATAGTCAATCTCAAGTTACGGGCAATATCTTTATCAAAATAGGAAAAGAAATAAAAAGGAAATATATACTCCTAGCATGCTTATGCTCGCTAACGAAAACAAAGGCAGAAAGAAATTAGAAAACAGACGGGACATATATAATTTAAATAATTTTTCATTTCATTAAAGAATACCTTGTACCGAGCGGCAGGGCGCTGACCGGACACGGGGAGTGCTACCCACTCGTCATAGTTTAATTCCTTATACCAACTTTGACTGTTTGTTCCCATTGGAGCTATCAGCTATCCTACCATACACTAAACTTTATCAATTCTAGGATACAACAAAAATCTGTTGCAAACGTATGTCGAGACACGTAGTTTAGGAAATCAAAAGCAGCTTGTTAAACAGGTTTGGGTAGAACTCATCTCCAAAAGCTAGCTCTAGCTCAAGGAGAGGAGTGCCCATTCCACATAAAACCAGTGTATGTGTCTTACTTTATTGTGCTGACTTTTACTACGATTATTACCGTGATGCAATTCGACTCTCGCATATTGTGAAAAATGAAAGTTTTAGCTCTATTCATGAGCTTTTCAATGCAATTAAATCATATGGTAAAAATAGTCTATTTTACTGTGGTTCGAATCTGCTATATTGTCTTCTACAGCTAATTTTATCGTCTAACTGGTTGCCACTACCTACTGCCCCACTTACTACAACCAAATCATGAAATGAACATTCTTACTCCACCTCCAACTCCACCACCAACAATTGCGCCAATTCCTTTACCACTCCACCCGCAATTCTTCCACCAGCACCACAACTAATTCCTTCACCAATCCCCCACTAATTCCACCTCAACCAGCACCACCCCCAATTCCCTTCAACAACTCCAACTCAAATTGCAGAAAAAGAACGAGAAATGAAACGACGACGGTAAAATGACAAAATGATAAGAGGGATGTTTTAATCAAAATCTATTAAAACTTGAAAAAGATGGTACCAAATCATGAAGAGAGGGGAAAGCGTATGTATGTGCAAAGTGTGTTTAGTATGTGAAGAATTAATTATAAAAAAACGGATGTATGTGAAAATTGTATGTGGCCTGTAGTTTTAAAAAACTCAAGAGTAAAAAAACAGTCAATAAGATAGTTATATAAATAAAAATGATAAACCTAGAGACTTGTAGCTAACGAAAACATTTAACCTTTCTTTTAAACTAATTAAAGCTCATTGTTAGGGACTTGTAGCTAGTTATTCCTTGAAAGAAATGAAGTACCAACTACTGCAGAACAAACTAATGGCTGAGAATCAAATAACTAAGTTTTCACATTTGAAGAAAACTTAGTTATTGAATTCACTTTTGCAGAACAAACTAGTGGCTCAGAATCTAACCTTGCTGTTTCACATTTGAAGAAGACAATTACAAAAGTGAAATCTCTAAAATCTTCAACAGAAGTTTTTGGCAATAGAGAAGCACAATTTTGTGACTCGACAATAAAATTATTGAGAAGCCACAAGATAGTCCAAATTATGAAGATCACCAATTCATGCAGCAACATAGAAGAGCGCAAAATTGCAAATTCAATCTTGAAACCAGCTCACAGATGTAGATAAGAAGGTTTAAATGGTAAATGGATGAAAAACAATCAACTTTAACACAGTCCAGCGTTAAAGAAGTTCTAAATTCAAATTAAACAAACTTCACTCTACAGCACAAACCCATAATTCGCGACATGATTCTCTTTATCGATCTAACCACAGAATTGTAAACATAAATCGATATACTAAATCTTTATCAGGAAATTCCAGTCCAAACCCCGTTCAGCCGAACGCAACCCAATCGCAGCCGAGATGATTCAAACGTATTACGCGGTTTCACACTCTAAATTAAACATAAACATGCGATTAATGGGTTAAACACATGATTTTACAATGCTAGTCAAGAGCCACAACTCAAAATTCTTATGATCTGCTCTCTTTTACACCAAAATCACAAATGCAGAAATCACCTAATCATCAATGGCGATAGAAACTAAGAAGATGAAATCGGAAAGGAAAAAAACAATGAAATGATACGAGTCACCGGAAACAACAAATTGATTATAGCAATCGAGAAATTGACAAAATTGAATAACGCGGATGGATCTTACAGGAGAATTGAGAAAATCGGATCGGAGAAATGGCGGGAGATCGGACGGTGGAGAACGCCCGATCTCGAGATGGGGGGAAACGGAGCAGATCCGTGCACCGACAACAGAGAAACCGGAAAGCACGAGGCCGTTGCTTTCTCGTCCCAACGGATGTGGGGTTTTAGCAGTTGCTCAGTTGAAACTTGAAGCAAGTCAAAGGGGTATAATCGTCTTTTTGCCTGATTACTTTTTGTGTAAATTACACCTACACCTCTGAGGTATACTAAAATAACTTTAAGGTCCCTGTAGTATCAATAGTTACAATTACACCCCTGAAACATTATTAGAAGCCCTAAACGGAATAACACATTGGATAAGTTATTTTGTCAGGGTTCAAACGAACTATTAGTTTCAGGTAGTGGTGGAGACAAGATACAGCTTAGGGGTGACATGGCTCTCCTACATTTCTTAAGTTCTTATTATTTTATATAAGATTTATAATTTTTTTTTCCTATGGTAGCATTAACGACCTCGCTGGAAACAAATATAGTGCATATCGGTGCCTAGGATATGAAACTCCGGTAATTGTTCCAAAGGTGTGGCTGTAATTACCAAATACCACAGTAGTCTTAAAATTATTTTAGCATACATCAGGGTTGTAGGCGTAATTTACCCTTCTTGTTTTGTTGTTGTTGTTAGTAGTAGTAGTAGTTTTTTTTTTTTTTTGAATTGCTATTAGTTATTTTGAACTGATTAACAATGATAGCACAGTGGCACTAGATGTAATGTGCATATTTTTAGTTCAAAATTTGAATTTTTTTAAGTGAACTAGGTGGTGGGTATACCCTTCAACCAACTCATTTCGGAACTAAATAATCAGTTCTGAACTATGGACGGCCCACAAAGGTTGGATTAACAATGGTTTTCAAATTTGACCAAAACTGGTTCTTCGGATAGGTCGTTTTTAAGTCGGTAATTGAGCGATCCAACTAAGTCACAACCCTAATTATAGTTGTACACGTCAGGACTCAGAACTCCACATATGTACTCTCTTTTTGTATACTGATGATGCTCTAGATAGATCATCTTAGACAGTTGAGATAGGATGAGCTGGAAGAGCAGAGTGGATCACTGGCTCACGAGCTTGATGACCTTGAGATACCTGCGATCATAGAGCACGTGAACTAGACCGGGGGTTGATCCGGCGGAACCCCTCCAACGCTCAAGTCAGACGTCCTATTAACAGAGTTATATCTATCAAAGTGTTCTCTGGCTATTTCCACTATAGCAGGTCCAGGCTAGTAGCGGCATACCCCGGGAGAGACTCCTTCTTTTT